GGATCAGTATCCAAATTTCATTAAGAGGGATGTCGACTGCCGGCTTCAGAAACAGCTCGACCCCGCAGCAGAGGCCTATCGAGAACCTTACCGGGTATACGTGAATTCGGATGAGGATCAAAGGTGGAGGAGCATCGTTTCCCGCGGAGATGAGCAGGTCAAGAACATCTTTTGTGTGATGGACTTCACAAACGAGGAGATCACTCATGCAGACGAAGTCAGCTCCATTATTGACTTAATGGTGGGACTTGCGGAGGTGGAATCTTCAATCCACTATATGATCTACGACTCCGAATCCTATCACAAGTTCTGGAAGGCCTTGAACGAGGTGAAGGCTCGGTTGAAAGGCAAGGAGATGCAGGAGATCCATGGGATAATGGCTAAGAAGAAGATACCGACGAATGTCCGCATCTTCACACTCGCCCTTGTTATTGGTCCTGCAGCAGAGTGGGACTGGAATGACTTCCCAGCTTCGTTCGACAAGGCCGATCGAATTGATTTGAGGGAGGTCAATTTACCCGTGCCTGAGGAACTGAAGACGGCTATGGAGCTTTCGAATCCAGAGAAAGCTCCAGGTGCAGCATGGGAAATGCTCAGTTGGGTCTTTAACGCAATAGCGGGTGGGTCACCTGCTTTCGACTCCAAGGGCAAATGCGTTGTCGAGTACAACTGCGGCGGACTATTCTTTCGAGCCGCACTACTCAAGGGTGTCCCGTGTGTTACGGTGACAAACTCCATTGAAGAGGTGACTTCAATGGAGCATATAATTACAGTTGCCAAAGAAAAACAGTATCTTCTCTGCGAACCTGGTGAGTACGCACTTTAAGTTTAAATGTTATCTCACAAGCTCTGTATGCAGGAGCGTGGCCACCCCCAGATGCTGAAACGGCGTTAATAGCTACTGTTGAAGATACCCATGTTGGGCCGAGCTCACAACCTGCACAAGGTCACGTGAGGCCTCACGCCATTTTGATTATAGATCGTTGTGAATATTCAGACACGAGGACTGAAAAGCGCACTGGTGGCGCGTCGAAGAAGGACAAACAGACAAGCAATAGGAAAAAAGGAGGTACAAATTATATTTGCAATGGCGTGTGGTCTCATGCCATTCCTTGCAGGAGACACTTCTTTAAAGGCAAAACAGGCAAGCACCAGCCAAGCTCAAACTGACAGTGGTCATAAAAAGCGAAAGCACGTTGGACAGTCGTCGGGATCAGAGGCGTTTGATTCGAAAAGGAAGAAGGGCAACGAAAAGATGATAGGTAATGCCTTGCGGTTATGGCGTGTGTGCTCATGCCATTCATTGCAGATCAAGGGCTGAGTGAAAGCAGCCAGTCACCACCTCCTGACTCAGATTCCTATGGCGGACTCCCCTTCCCCAATCTCAATGGAGAGGTACAATGGATGAGGGATGCTTTTTAAGTCAGGGCCACGTTTTTCTCATCTCGTCGTCTTCGAAGGGTGCAAGAACGTGCAAAAACCATGTTAAGACAGTCGAGTGAGGATACGGTCCTAGGTCACGCACTAAAACAGGCTATGGATGTCTTGTATTTTGAGATGGAGACTCGGTCAGATGATTTTCCCAAGATGGTCCTAGAAGAACAAGCCATCCAGCCTGAGCAGCCTATGGAAGAAATGCAGGAGGGGGATGAGGAGCCAGAGAAAGATAATGAGCAGGAAGAGCAGAAGGATGAAGAGAAGGACAAAGAAGAAGAGGACGAAGAAGAGGAGGACGAAGAGGACTTGGATGGTCTTCACAATGGTGACGATCACAATAACGACAACGACGATGATGACGACGATGGCCAGCCTGAGGTGGCCAAAGAGCAGCGGAGGAAGGTCATACAAGACAAACCATCAGGTAAATAATAGTACATCCATTCCTAACCTTTTACCATTTCTAACATTGTCCATGTAGGTCGCAAAGCAAATGGTAAGTAGAGATTATTCAGTTGAATTAAGATACAAACTCTAGCCTTTAGTGTCGAGGAAGGATAGTGCCAAACAAGGGTCGAAACGTATGTCCAATCCTTCAGAATCAGCAGTGCGCCCAAGTGATATCGGTCCTAGTTCCTCAATAGCAGTTGATGGTAAATATAGTATAGTCGATTCAATGTGCTAATGAGTTTGTTTTTAGTAGCCAATAGGGAGGATACCATCTCAATCGAAGGGAGATATTTGGACATGCATATGGATCCGCCAATGGACTCTACTTGCCTGCAAGAGTCATCAGAGCTGGTGGAAGCTACTATCCATATCAACGCCAAGCAAGCTGACCACACTCCACTTGATGCTGCCCATACCACTGAGTCAATCTTGTCCACGTATCCAACTGACGGTGACCAGGTGCCATTGGACCCGCATGAGGCCGCCCCAGCCGCCGAGCCGGTCATATCCTCATTTCCAACGGACTCAACGTGTGCCCAATCGTCTGACTACACGCCGTTGGAACCTCCCTACACCGCCCCTGCTGCCTGTTCGGTCATGTCCACTTTGCCAACGGAGGCACCAGCTGAAATGGCGTGTGATCACATGCCATCGGAACCACCCCATGCCACTGTTGAGCCAGTTGTACCAGAGTCTACAGCTGAAATGGCATGTGCCCACACGCCATCGGATGCGATTGACCCCACATTGCAGAGGAGAGTATTTCCGCCCTTCACGTTTCCTCGACCAAAACCCTCTCAACGACCATCGGGAGCACCATTCGCTAATATTGTAGATGGTAAAATTGACTTGTACCATTTTTTATGCTGACGCATTTCATTTCAGAGTCATGGCGAAGGTACTGTATCGTTTTTGATCTGAACGGTGTCCTTTTCTCCCATGAGCGTGGCTCGTCCTCGAATGTCATTGCACCCTCCAAAGCCTGTGGTCGCAAGTTGGTCAAAAGAGACAGATTCATATTAATCACACGGGAGAAACTACGGGATCTAATAATGACCATGCGACACTTAAAACAAAGGGCCGGGTTCAATTTGCAATTGGGAGTTTGGACATCCATGATGCGCCACAATGCATTAACGTTGTTATAGATGATGCACGATCAGACGTGAGTAATATTACCATTTGACTTTCTCCTAACGCAGGAGGATTGCTTGACTATGGTCCATGTGAGGGGTAGTAAGCCCATCTTCGTCAAGCCAAAGGCTATAGTGATGAACCGGACTGCTAGGTCAAGTGAAATCCTCATCATCGATGACTCGCCAATTAAAACTGCAGCGAACACGCACACATATGCAGTGCACCCCATCTCTTGCAGTATGGAAACTAGGGAGAAGAAACCGTATGTTCTGGGGGACCTTGCAAAACGGCTTGGAGCGATGGTGATAGAGAACCGGCCAGTCCAGGAGGTGGCTGCAGAAATCAACCAAATGGCAGATGGAACGATATATTAGAAGCCATTTGATCGGACAAACACCAGTCATCATTTATGGCATGTATATTGTCTAGCCAAGCACTATCCGCATCTCCATAATCTGCTCAACCGGATGGGTTCTTCGACCACTGAACATGAGCGTGGACATATTAGAGAAGAGATGGCATTACTATTGGGTTTAAATCCTGATAGTGTGGAGAGTGATGAAATTCCAAGATTATTGTATAGGCGTTGGAGGCAAAAAATAACAATCTGAGATGGCATGTATTTATTTAAAAATGTAACTTATTATGGCATGGGGTTTCATGCCATTGTATTAATATTAAAAAACAATTCTTTGAGAGGATTTGCATTATACTAGAAGTGTTATAGCATGTTATTGGAAGTCTACGAAGTTGTTTTATTAATAAGGGGAAAGTAAAGATTGAATGGGGACTTGGGCTCCACCTAAACTTGGAGCAACTGAGCTAATATTAAAAGGATGGAAAGAAATTGGACGATGATAACAAGGAGAAGAGAGGGGTGAAGTAGTGGCAGGGGGAGGAGAAGTGACTGAGTAGACATTTCCTTGTTTAAAATAAAATGGCATGTGCCTTAATGCAGTTGAATTTTGTTATATTTATATACTATATAAAGGTTTGGAAACCTTATTTTACAAGTGGGATAATGACAATTCCCACTTTAACGAAATAGAGCTTTGTGGATCTTTAGAATTTTAAAAAGATAAAATAGTTACTTAAGTGGATCTTTGGAATCATGGGGGATAAATGGGGATATAATAGCCATTAAAGGCTCTTTTATCAAATAATTACCCCTTTTCCAATTGGTTTAAGGGGAGAGAGATAGAGTGCGTTATAGATCTTGACGAAGTATTAGCCACAACATTCTAAACTTGATCTGCTCAAATATATTTAACTTTGCATGAAGCAAAAGGTTTTGGAAACAAACACTAAATTGCATTTTTTATTTAAATAGCCCTTGACTAAGATGATGTAATTATTAAAAGATATTATTACAATTGTTAGCATATTTAAATGCATATTTGAAAATGTCTGAGAGAATGTTCCAATTCATATGAGTGGTTACACTCAAACTATTGTACCACTATAACACCATCCCTTTGAAATATATAGAAAATTCATATAAATGCCAAGCATCATCCCAAGAATAATATATAATAATCACTATAAAATGATTGAACAAATAGTACACATCATCTATAGAATTCTTATGGAAAAACTCCAGTCAAATGTGAGGATTAGTAACAAGAGCAAAAGGAATTGTATTACGTGCCGTGAATGTTGCTATTAATTGAGTCTAATTGTTCAATTACATAACATTGAGCAATTGCATTAATTATTACTCTAGAGTCAAAAGAGAAGGTTTGCCACTAAAACAAAAAGGAAATAACAAAAAAGAAAAAATTGAAAAATCTATAAGGAAAATGGTATTTAGATGATGTAAAAGTTAAATTTGAACCAAAATCCCAAATCCAAACACTCAGGACAATCAAAGTTACCCCTTATCTCCATCAATATGAATGCATGAAATATAAAAATAAAATAAGAAATGTGCATATTAATTAACCCAAAAATTCTAACTTATATACATGAGCAAGTGGTTTAAATTAAAACCTGGCAATCAAAGTCCCACTAAAATAATGCAATGCAGTTGAAAGTTTAGAACTTAAGGTTTAGATTTAAGGCGAATATACCTCTGCGATTCTTGGAAGCGATAGATTTCTTGATTGCTAGTCCCTTCCGCGGCAATAACAGAGCTTCTTGGACAGGCTCATTGGTGAAATATTAGCGCAAATATTTGCCTCGCCATGCGCTCGATCTCGCGCTTAGAAGCTCGGGACAATGCTGTCACTGGGCACTCAAAGGAACCGGTCAGATTCCTGGGCAGCGAAATCGAAAGCAAAGATTACTCACGCCAGGGAAGAAATGGGAAGTTGCATTGCTCGTCCGGGATAGAGATGGCGAATGCTACTGCCTGGATGCATAAACGAGAATGAGAGCCAAAGTGATGCGTTTTTTCATACCAGGATCGACGCAGCGGAGAGGTCAGAGGGAACGCTGGCAAAGTTGAATTGGCCGTCGCCATATAGCAAGTCGATGATGTGAAACACCGTGCTTTGCTTGACTAGCTTCCCAACCGTGGCTGTGTTCCTGTGAGAGAGAGCGCAGCAATGGAATCGATACCTCCATTCAGTTGTGGCGTACCTGAGCTTGGAGAGTAAATCGCTCGCGACATCAGAGACTAGAGTACCCGTCCGGACATCAAACTTCATGGCCTTGGGGAACAAAGGAAAATCGGTGTTAAAAACGCTTTAAAACGCTGTGAGGCAACGCACGCGACCTTCATGAGAAGGATCTCCTGGAATCGCACGAAAGGAGTTGGCAAACTTTCACTTAAAACTCGTAAAAAAGGAGAGAACTCACCGCCTCAGCGAAGTCCCTCGTACAAGTATGAACGTCGGGAATTAAATCGTTGGCAATCTCCTTGAGAAGAATCGGCTTTGTTTCGTGTATCTGAGCTTTCAAAGGAATGAGAAGAATGAAAAGAAAAGACTGGATCACACTGTGCCTTGCTCGCGATCCAAACGAAGACGAGACCGATGAACTGGAGGCTCTTCCTGGCAACAAGCCGGGAAATCTGCTCCTCCACGGCGCTCCCACAATCCATTCTGCCAGGAAATCATCCACTCAGGCACACAAATCGCAGGAAATTTTCCAGACCTGTGCATCCATGGAAGGAATCGGTCGGCAAAGAGCGACAGCGCGCAATATTTCGTCGATGGGAGCGCATTCACGAGCTACATGGCCAGGAATCGTCGATAAGATCATAGATTTCGATCTCACTTGCCTGGCAGACGTGAAGAATGAGCCCCACGGCCTCCCGTCGCTCCGCCTTGGACACTGGCCCCATAGCCACACCAGTTTAGGGTTTTATGATTCAAAGGGTATGGCGGAAATGCCGCTAGAAAGCTGTGGGTGTGGAGGGCTCGTCGTGAGCAGCAGATGGAATCCAGGCTTCTTCGCCAGCGCCGTGCCATTGAAGGTGTCGCTTCTCTCCAGATTGAAGCAGCAATCCTCGCAGCGATGGCCGCGAATTCGATGCGTGAGTAGCCGCGTCACCGAGCATAGCTTGCGGCAGCAGCCTGGAATCCACATTGATGGCGGCGATGGCGCTCGAGCTCACCCGCGGCTCATGGATTGGATGCTCGAGCAGGGGCTTCCGCCGTGCAAGGTCTCGCTCAAGGAGCGCGATTTGAATGGAAAGACGATCAGATACGTGGTTGCGAGCGAAGATTTAAAGGTAATGTATGATCTCCTGTTTTTCTTTGTGTTCTTTGGGATGATCATCGGGTTTCTTTCAGCCTGGAGACTTGGCGCTCTCAGTTCCTATGTCCTTGGTGGTAACACTGGAAAGAGTTCTAGGCAATGAAACCATTGGTGAGTGATCTTTCTCTTAGTTCTTTCGCACTTTCTCGCTTTGTTTGTGCGAATTTTCGTGTTCTCATCTTTGTTCTTGATTTTCAGCTGAATTGCTGACTACCAACAAACTCTCCGAGCTTGCATGCCTCGCGCTCTATCTTATGTACGAGAAGAAACGCGGCAAGGAGTCGTTTTGGTACCCCTTTATTCGGGAGCTCGATCGGCAGCGTGGTCGAGGACAAGTCGCTGTAGAGTCTCCGTTGCTATGGACCTCGGAAGAGCTTGACGAGTATTTCACGGGAAGTCGAATGAAGGTTTGTTCTATATTCTTTTGAGATTGTAGCTCAACTGGGAGTGTTTCCATTCTTGCAAACAGGAGGTCGTACTGGAGCGCCTCGAGGGGATTAAGCGAGAATATCAAGAGCTCGACACTGTCTGGTTTATGGCCGGTTCGCTTTTCAAGGTACTAAAAGGTTTTTTCCTTTTAGCTTTGCGTGTGAATCTGTGCATTGTTGATGGATTGACGCGCAGGAGTATCCTTTCGATATTCCAACAGAGGCATTCTCTTTTGAGATTTTCAAGCAGGCCTTTGTCGCGGTCCAGTCTTGTGTCGTTCACTTACAGGTAAATCATCCTTCTTAATGCGGTAGTTTCACGGAGCCGTCTTAACAGTAGTTTGCAGGGAGTAAGTCTGCCTCGACGTTTCGCTCTAGTGCCTCTTGGTCCACCACTATTGGCTTACAAGAGCAATTGCAAGGCCATGCTCAAGGCTGCGGGGGACTTAGTCCGTTTGGAAGTCGATAGAGCTTACAAGAAAGGAGAGCAAATTCTTGTCTGGTACGTTTCTTGCTTTGTCATCCGATATTTTTTGAATCTAGATATTTCAGGTGTGGTCCTCAGCCAAACACGAGATTATTGCTGAATTATGGTTTCGTAGATCCAGATAATCCACACGATCGTCTTAGTGTTGAGGTAAGCTGTGGTGTGTAAACTGTGTCTCTAAAGTATGTCATTAACTTCTCAGGTTCTGTGTGAAGGCCTCGTTAAACACTCGGGATCCATTCTACCAAAACAAGCGGATTATTGTCCAGAAGAACAACAGGCTGACAATACAAAACTTTCAGGTATGCCACTGTTGATCCAGAGAAGTTGGGTTGTTGCTCACGCAACGTCATTTGGTGCACAGATTTTCAAAGGCAGGGAGAAAGAGGCCGTTCTTGAGATGCTGCCATACTTGAGGCTTGGACACGTCTCTGATCCGTACCATATGGAATCTGTATTTTCTGCTGAAGGTCCAACTTGTCCGGTAAGTGCCACCAGCTGGAAGGAAAAACTACAGTAGAGTTGTTGTCTTATACTTTTTTTTTCTCTACAGGTGAGCGCTTGCAACGAACGAGCAGTTCTCGACCAGCTTGCGCAGTACTTTCAAGAGAGGATAGCAAAATACAAGACCACGATCGACGAGGATAGAGCTCTGGTATGGCGTTGGCAAGTTTTTCCTCTGGTTTTTATATCGCTTTGGTTGTTCCTCGCAGCTCGAAGATGGCTCCAGTGATATCAATCCCAAGCAAAGAGTCGCGACCCAGCTGCTGCTTATCGAGAAGGAAATCCTCCACAACACTCTTGACGTTGTGAATGGATTCCGGAACCAGTTGCCGGATGGATCAGTAGCTCCTCCCTGCTGCGGAGATTTCGTCCCAAAGCTCAAGTGAAAAACGAAAGGAAGAAGATCGATTCAACAAAAGCTTTGGTCGCGAAGAAGAATCGCGAAGGTCTAAAAGCTTGACGAGTAAAAAGAAGATCCACCCAATGGGATCGTTCCAGAGCAACCGCCAAGCGTCCCGGCATATTTCTCGGAATATACCTTTCCCCGCCATGCGGCAAGATGCCCATGTCATGTATGGGTCCGGTCCATCCACGTCATGGCACGATTTTATTATATGGCCGCGCCACGTGGCCAGATGCAGTTCCTCGACCTTGATCAATGGTTAAAACTCGCATTTTGACGCACGGGTTGGTAAAAAATAGCAACGGCGATTGCCAGGTGCTAATTAGGGAGGTAGCACCGACGGCCACGATGGCGCCGCGGTCGTGAGATCACACCTGGGCCGTCCGATCTCACTCAGTTTCTACGCTTGTCGTTCCGTTCGGTTTCCTTTTCTCATCCTTCGCTACTAATGTGCTCTCTCCCGCCATAGCTGAGCCTTTTCTTTTTTCCTCTCTTTCTTTGTGGAAAGCCCTGGCGCCGCGAGAGAACCCTAGAACCAGTCGATCTTTCTTGGCCCAGAGCGGAGCTGGTTAGCGGCGCTGGGGCGGCGACGGGGAATAAAAAATATTTTGGCGGAGCGCGGCGCGCTTCGGTTTCTAGGGTAAGGCGATTCCTCCTCTTTGCGGCGGCGGCAGAGAAGAAATCCGTGGCGTGATTTGCTGGCAGGGATTGCAAGCGGCAGCGGTGCTGTAGATCTGGTACCGCCGTGGTCGATCCGGCTCCAGGCATCGCGAGCTCGGGGCAGGGCGGTTTCTCTAGGATCTGGCGGTTCTTTTTGGCGGTTATTAGCGTCTTTTTGGGGTATGCTGGCGGCGACTTCTTCGCAGGGATGAGGCCAAGGAGAGATTTTCTCGACGAGTTCGTGCATGATGGCTGTGGCTAGTAGCGGCAGTGGAGGCAAGATGCTATGGGGCTCCAGATGACAGGAATCCAATTGGGCGCCGGCTTGGCGGCTTGCTCGTCGTCTTGGATATCACGGGGAGGAATCGCGCAGGCTTTTGGTCGAGCATGCGGGGTGTCGGCCCTGTCCCAGTCATGAGTCCCATGTCCAAGTCATTTCGGAAGCGTGAGCGTTCGTCTGGAGCGTCGAGAAACGTTAAGAACAGTAGCAGCAGCACGGCCACCGGGGCCTCGCCATCGAAGAAGCCCAAGCTCGCCGTCACCGATTGCTCTGGGGATCCTTCTCTCGAGAAGCAGCAGCAGCAGGAACAGGAACAGCAGCGGCAGCAGCATGAGCGCACCACCACCTCGTCGCCGGCGCTGTCCGGGGCCTCGAGCCTCTCCACCTCGAATCATCCAAAAGTCGGGGCGGCATCGGTCTCGAGCCCATCCACGCCGGACAGACCAGGGCAGTGGTCCTTACGTCCAAGACAAAGCTCGGGAGGAATCGTGAAGAGGACCCGGAGGCTGTATTACGACGTCCACTTAACCGAGGACGACGCTACCAAGCTTCTTGGTCACCGGATTAAGATGTGGTGGCCACTGGACAAAAGGTGGTACCTCGGAGAGATTAAGAACTACGACAGTGAGCTCCGGCAACACTGGATCGTCTACGACGATGGCGACAAGGAATGGGTGAAACTTGAGGAGGAGAACTTCAGGCTCCAGCTGCTGCCCGGGGATAGCTTCGAGCGAGCTGCCAAGCCGAGGTCGTCAACGTACTGCCTCAACTCCGAGAAGGACGAGGAGGATGTCGACATCACGGCCGACGTGTGCTCTCGTCTGGTCGAACAGCCATCCTCGAGGGCGACGAGTGCGGCGAGCGAGGATAATTCATCGGCTCAGAACGTTGTTCCGGGGCCAAAGCCAGTGTCCGTGTACGCGAGGAGACGTCACTCTAGGAATGGGTCCAGGGGCAGTGGAAGCGTGCCTGTCACGTCTGCGGCTTCCACGGTTGAGACCGATACGATCGAAGTGCAGAGTCCTATTAGAGTATGTGAACCGTCTAACACTGCTCTGTCATATGAAGGTAATTGTGATCTTTTCTGGCTGCTGGTTTTTCCTGACGCGGTGGCCTTTTGCAGATCAGGAGGGTCTCTCCGTAACTTTTGGTGAAGCAGAACCGGAGCTAGGAATTATAGCCAAGGATGTAGAACAGGAGGTTAGGATGGTCGAAGGTGGTAATACAGGCTATAACAGGGAAATGGACAGCCAAAGCCTCGTCAAGTGGCCTTTGAGCAGGAATGTAGCGGAACTATTGAGATTTATTGAGATCAGGTCTAGAAGTCGCAAAGGTACTCTAGTTGGCGGTAGACTTCTGAACCAGGTGTGGCGGGGTATGCTACCAGTTTGGAACATGGGGAACCTTTTCGATATAAAACTGGGTCCGTCGACCGAGCTCCTCGCTTCCGGGGAAATGACCCCAACGGTGATGATGGAGTCTCCAAAGACAGGCCCGGGAGGTAGCGGATCTTCCCTCTGCATGTTGATCAGCTGGAACGGTTTCACGCTTGAGAAGAATGCGAGGTTGAAGGAGGTGCTTGAGACGAGCTTGAGACGCATCCAGAGCGAACAGAGGAAGCAGATATTCTGGAAGAACACTATCTCGGGGTTCAAGGCTCCCAGGAGGGACTTCTCTGTCCATACAGGATCAGGGTCTTACTTGTCGGTGACGCTGTTGAGTGTTCCATCCAATGGCCGTCAGCTGCTTATGGACCCGGTGACACAGACGACACACTCGGCCGAGCTGGTTAGCGATAGGCAGCTTTGCACCAATTTTTTCAAGAGCCTGCCTTGTTCGGCACCGGCGACGGAGCTCGTCTTCACTGCTCTCGTTGACGGCCGCCATAGTGGCTCTACGACACCTGGAGAGGTTCGAGAGACTCGCTTAAACACTAAGGCCAATTGTGCACAGACTGCTGTAAGTGTACTTTTCTTTTCTTGCAATCTTGAAACAGCTTTTGCTATAACGTTTTTTTTTCTCATCGTGTTTTTGGTAATTCAGAGAGTAACGCCATATGCTGCTCGTTCGTCTACGGGTGACAAGGCACGCATGCTTTTCAGCAAGAACTTGCGTAAGTTTTCCCACCTGCGTAAGATCTTCCACAGCAAGTGGAAAGACCTTAGTGGCCCTGGTCTGCGGCTGTCCATCAACGAGAGCCTGGGCCTCTTTTCTTCCAGGCACCTCCCTATACTACTCAGGATACATCGGCTCAACACACAGGCAGTCTTACTTCTTCGAGCATCCTCTTGTCAAGCTGGCACCTCCGGCAGTCCAGAGACAAGGCCCGGTTTACAGGAGCTACTTAGTATGAGCAAGAAAGGAAGGAGGACGATAAAGGGGATTAAAAGGATAAGCCAGGAAGAAGGACTTCCCTTACCGCCACCAAAGCGTATCAGAATCGCAGTGCCCGAGCCAGCGCCGGTCCCTGCCACTCCGACCGTGGAAGAGCAGCCGAGTCAAGATGATGGTAGAGCCCGGGGAAACATCTTGAAGCTAAGAAGATGCCCGACTAAGAGAGGAGCGATGTGGTGCGTTGCAACGAGCACGGAGAGTGTCTACGATGACTTGGGGGAGTCTCCATCGTCGGGAACCTGCACAGCAAACCTTCTCATAGTTCAAAGTGACAGAGGCTGGCGAGAAACCGGGGCTACTATCGAGCAGCAGGCCGATGGTGATACTTCGATACTCGTCGTCTCACTCAATGGCGAGGTACTTTATACTTACAAGGCCTACCAGCCCATACAGGCGGGGATCTCCAACAAGCACACACACGCTTTGATGTGGAGGGGTGGCAAAGACTGGATGCTGGAGTTTACGGACAAGATGCAGTGGAGCTGCTTTAGAAGCATGCACGCTGCTTCGTGCGTGACAAACGCCAGGGCGCTGTCCATGAAGCACATTCCAATCCCAGGTGTTCGTGAGGTCCCTGACGACCCAGACCTTTCGGTTTCGTTCCTCCGACCTTGGGGAGGCTATATCAAACAGCCATCCGGGGAAATCGACGCCGCCTTGTCAACTTCCAGGGTCTTGTACGACATGGATAGCGAAGACGAGGAGTGGCTTGATGCGCAGGCGGATGAGATCACGGACGAGGTTTTTGAGAAGACTATCCATTACCTGGAGAGGGCTGCTTATATTCAAAAGCAAGAGATCTCTCTGCCCGTCGCTGTGGAGCTGTGCTCTTCGCTAGCACCGGCGGAGGCGATCACTCTGATACACGCTCACTGGCTGGAGAGAAGGCGCAAGCACGGAATGGCATTGATACGCTGCTTTCAAGTAAGTTTTTTCTGTGTTTTTACTTGTGTGAGCTTAACTTGACTTGTTTGATTGCGCACAGGCTCCTGCCTGTGATCGGTACGAGGCCGCTCTCCAGGCGTGGAGAGACTCTTCGAAGCAAACCAACCAGCCACCCGTATTTGCGTTTTGCATGCGGCCGAATGGATCTCATAAGATGAGCAGGCAACGTTCACAGCGAAGAATCAGTCATGTTGATCATCAATACTTGGACGACGCACAAGGTAGGAACACTGTTTAGTCATTTCTTTTCGAGTATAGCTCATGGCTTTCCTCGTCACAGGCCTCAGGAACGTGATTATCGAGCCCTTCGACTCCGAGTTCTACTCTGGCAGCCCGGGCTCGGACGCCTTCGACGACGGCTCCTACGGCACTCCTTCGCAGAGGCTCGGTTCCAGGTCCAAAGGCAGGAAGCCCGGGAAGAGGCCGAGGAGGATGAAGTCCATCTCCGGCGGCAGCGGCAGCGAGGAGCGCAGGGGCGTGAGGACGTTCATCGCCCCGGCCACTGCCATGAACTTAATGGACGAGGCGGACCAGTTCGACGGCGGTGACTCGTGCTCGAGCATGGACTTCGATCTCAACGACGACGCTCTCGTCAAGGCCCAGCTCGCGAGGAAGGCGGCCAGGATTGCAGCATCCAAGGCGGCCCGGGCGCAGGAGCTCTACGCCGTGGCGGACGCGGCCATGAAGAGGGCGGTGGCGTGCCTGATCGAGGCGGAGGCGCTGGCGGCGGCGGAGAAGGCTGGGCGGGACAACGCGTATGCCAAGCTCGACCAGCAGCAGCAGCACGGCATGGGCGCTGCCGAGGAGATCGAAGACGATGACGATTTGCTGCTGCCTATAAGCAACTGGACGCAGGAGTTTGGGTCGGGGCTCATACAGAAAGGTGGCGGCGGTGGCAGCGGCGGTGGCAGCGGCGGTGGTGGTGGCGGTGGTGGTGAAGCCACGGTTGCCAGCCCCCGGAAGAGCTTGAGGTACATAAACCAGTCTTCGCTTTTCAAGGGGATGGTGTCGTGAAGGAGAGAAGAGGGGGGAGAGAATAAGGCGGAGGTTCTCTCGTTTTTTTTCTTTTTTTCTTGGAGAGGAGGTGGTGATTTTATATCGGGGGTGTGATGGCTACTGGTCCAGCAGCGGCTATATGAGTGCTCCCAAAAGCTTGGAAGTTCTTGAGATCTTCTCCGCTCTCTCTTTTCTCTCGCTCTTCTCCTTGCTCGGATCGGATACTCTTCTTTTCTTCAAGTGGTTTTTGTAATATCATCCATCATCAGCATTTTGTATCAAAAGCAAGATGCGAGTTGCTTGTACAGTCTTTGTTTTTCTGGAATCAAAATCATTTTAATCACATTTTATTTCTTTTATCTTTTTTATTTTCATTTGGATTCTGCGTGGCGACTCGAGGAAAGAATGTAATTGGCAGGAATCGAACTGATGACCAGATTAGAACCGGATATAAAATCCCATTCGTTATTTACATGATTGTATGTAAATCCTTTGACAAGGAGCTGTGGTGGATACCGTAAAAGCTGTACACGAATACGCCAATGACGAGCCATGCCGAAACTCTGAGCCAAGTGACGCTCCTGCAAATCCCAGAACCACCATAGAAAATATTATTACAAGTATCAACGAGCTTACCCAAGGTTCGCCAGCAAATACACATTAACCATTATACACAGGATAGGAAGAACAGGAACCCCAGGACAGTGAAATCCTGATAGAAACAAGCAGCTCTTAATCGTTACGTCGAAATGCAAGCGAAGAAATGGAAGAAAAGTTTTGCGTACCTCCTGATTGTCCAAATTGGTGACGGCCCTCGTCCTGATCGATGAGCAAGAGAATGGCGCTTCCAACGAGCAACATGGAAGTTCCAATCACTCCCATAATCCAGCACAGCCAGCTACAGCGTTGCGTTAAAAGCTTGCACGAATAAAAGGAAGGCATGGAAGACAGTACCTGGGTAATAAAGTTGCGCTTGTCGCGATGCTCAACAGCACCACTCCAATGCAAACACCAGAGATTCCACAAGCAGCGTATCTTCGTCTGCGTTCCTCCTTTTCTTTTTCTGGAATGCTCGAAAGGTGTTAGTTTCATGCTCGTCAATAGGAAAGGGACAGATGGTCTCACCGTCGTCGAGAGCAAGTCGAGATGAAGATGGCATCCCCGATTGAAGCGCGCTGTCGTCTTCCATCGTCAAATCATTGGAAGAAGAGCTGCTACTGAGAGAGGTCGCATCGTCGTCCACTTCTGGTATAGATGATTCTGAGAAAATAGATAGAATCGGAGAAGCGTGCTCTTCCTTCTTAAGATGAACTGGAATGCCCGACTTCTTTTTAACAAAGGGAACTTCCTGGGTGGGAGCCGCTGAAAGTACCAGAGGCTCAATGGGGGGAACGTACCGAAGAATCAATATCGACACGGCCACGATCGAGAAGGCCATCAGCGTGCCAACGCTTACCTGTTTTACAACGGGTAAGTCAATCAAAAGCTCGTCACTCCCAAGAAAAGTACTAACCATTCCCGAAAGCTCGTCGACGTTCAAGAGAAATGCCATGCAGCCGGCCGCGAACCCTGTCACAACTGTGCTGTATACAGGAACTGAAGTAGCCTTGTTCACTTTGGAGAACAAAGGTGGAAGAAGACCGTCGCGGGACATGGCCATTAAAATTCTTGGCTGCAGGGAAAGAAAAGAGTGAGCAAATATTATAGTGATACTTACGCTTTACTTGTGGAAGTAGAGCTCCCAAAAGAGCCGTAGACAATGCTGCTACGGCACCAGCTGCGACAGCATACCTGGCAACATCACAATCACAATTACGTCATTATGTACACGAAGAAGAAATCAAAGCACAAAGTCTTACATTGCCCAGTGCAACCCATTTTTCATGAAGGCGGTGGGCATGGGAGTGTCAAGATCCATTTCGTAGTAAGGTACTATCCCCACCATAACAGCGGATACCACGATATATATGCTGCCGCAAATGAAGAGCGACAGGCCAATGCCGATAGGAAGATCCCGCTGCGGATGTTTTACCTGTCACACAGAATAGCAGCACATCACTACTGCAAACATCAAAGATACGAACCTCACCTCTTCAGCGGTACTTGCAACAGCATCAAAGCCAATAAATGCAAAAAATACAGTCGCCGCGCCACTGAGAAGACCACTGACGCCAAATGGCATGTATCTGCACGAAACCATCTCAAAATCAGTATCTGTCACAATAAAACAACGAAAGATAGACTCACCCGCCGGCGAGATTGTAGCCAGGCCAGCCATTTCGAAAACCAAGCCAAGAACCCACCACTATAACAAACAGAAGAACAGAACAGTTGACAGCAGTCATCACCGTCTGGACGAATGCACTCTACCAACACGATGTAAAAGTTAGAACTTTAGTAGCTGCGATCAATCGAAAGAACCGATACCTCTCGTATACCGGTGGATAGAAGGCAAGTTACAGCGGCCACAAGTAGAAAAGCGCAAGGATCACAGACGATGCTCGTCCCGGGGATTAGTCTGCGTGACAGCCAGCCAGGTAAGTTGGCAGAACCTCCAAAAAATATGGCCTGAGAGAAGCTCAATAATTTCTTTTTCCGAAAGAAAAAAAAGGAAAAAAAAAAAAGAGTGTGAAAAATTCATACCAGATTTGGGGAAATGCCTCTAGCCACAGCAGCTCCCCCGACCGTGTACTCCAAAATGAGAGCCCATCCAATGATCCAAGCGATCCTGATCAAACGAAAAGATATTCTCCCTTGTATCATGCCGGAAGTGAAAGAACTTGAGAGAACGTACCCTTCTCCAACGCATAGATAAGCGTAGTGGTAGGCGCTTCCAGCAGAGGGGCATCTACTCGCGAGCTCTGCATAACAAAACGCCGAGAGAGCCGCGGCAACTCCAGCGATGAGGAACGAAGCTGATAGCGAAGGACCTGCCTTGTCTCGCGCCACAGTTCCAACCAAAACATAGACTCCAGCGCCGATTGTAGCTCCAATCCCTGCAAATCTCTCAAGATCATCCCAGATCGCGAAAATTCACACGCAGTCACCCACCTACAGCCAGGAGCTCCCAGATTTTGAGATGCTTGGCGAGCTGGGGGCTCCCCTTGCGATGCTGCTGCGCATTGGAATGCTTGCGCCGCGTGAGAGTGGAGAATCCCACACGCTTCCTGCCGCTGACCAAGAAAGGGATGTCGATCGCTGCTGAATCCGCCTCCATCGTCTCCTCGCTGCCGCCGCTCCCACTGCCGATCTTCTTCCCCTCTCGCATTCTATCGAAACCTAGCTCCGGATCCCATAGACCGCCAAGGCGTGGAAAACGTGAAGCGGCAAGAATCTCACTACCGGCAGCTCAGAGCTTGAGATTCCGGGGCGGGACCATCAGATCGGCGTCAGCATTGCACAGCGCCCGCGCAGCTGCTCGACGAAAAGACCCAAGAACCCTAAAAAACAGGGGGGCGAGTCCACACGATATTAACAAAGACAAAATTTTTGTCCTGGAACTTCCCTTGTCAACACGCGTGCAACGAGACAATGTAAAAGATCCAGTGTGTTTCGTGTCGTGTGTTCTTGATTGGTTTGCTCGAGAAGAAAATTGGAGCGAGAGAGATTTTTTTGGGGGGGGGGGGGAGTGGAGTTTCGATACTGATCGATCCGAGAGATATATATGATGTTTCGATGCTTCAAGAGACACTCCAAGTTGGCGTTGGAAGATCTAGCTACCAAACTTTTGTTAACCTCATTTTGCTTAATATTGCCATAAGAAACTATATTTCAAATAGTAAAAGAACATCACTCATTTTTTCGATTGTCGATACGATAGAGTTTTGTGCAGATCCAGATCACAGCCATTCCTCATGGATTAGAAACCAAGGATGGCAAACAACCTCATCCATAGTGATGCGCTCTTCCGGATCAAACGCTAACATCCTGTGCAGAAGATCAATCACTTCGATGGACATATTCGCGAGCTCAATCTCATCGCAGTCCAGGAAATACGTCTCCCTTTTCTCCACCATCTCTCTCATCACGTCCACAAACGGCGTCGCATCGGCATCGCTGCTCAAATGGCGCAGCTTCCCGAGCAAGGCGTACCGCAGCGTCATGCCCAAGCTCCAAACATCCGCCGCCGGCGTGTAGATCCCCTCAAACATAACCTCGGGAGCCATGAAACCGGGGGTTCCAACAAAATCCATCTCCCACGGCCTGTGCGCGTCGCAAGCCAGGCCAAAGTCCGCCAACTTTGCGTCGAGCTCCCGGCTGAGGAGAATGTTGGCGGGCTTGATATCGCAGTGGATGACCCCGTTTCTATGGATCTCCCGGAGGCCCTTGGCGACCTTAAAGAACATCCTCGCCGTGGTTGGCTCCGCGAACTTCACACCCAGGTCGAGGCTGCAGGCGCGCAGTTCCATGACGATGTGGGTCTTAGGGTTACCACCATCGCCGCGTTTGTCATCGTAATGAAGGTCCTTGACCTTCATGACACCGTCGTTCACCCTGTCCCCGGCCTTGAGCATCAGACGCACCTCTTTGGAGCCGCCGCCACTCACGGTCTTGATTGCGAACTCTTGGCCATCGCTCCTCCTCGTAGCCTTGAAAACCACACCGCCGCTTCCACAGCCCAGGAGAGCCCCCAACTCGTAGCGTCGCTCCAAATCGCTGGGCTTGATCGCGTCTCCACCTTTCGTTTCTACGTCACCTTGATGCACAAGTTTGCGTCGCTTCTTTTCCCTCTCCATCTCCACAGCTTCAGCCCTGGTCCTCGTTCGGATCCACATTGTCTGAAAGAAAAAGAAAAAACCCTATGTAAAAAAAAATGAGGATCTCTTTTATACACTAAAAGGCTACCACCACCTCAATATAGAAAAACATATCTTTTTAGGGTTCTTCATAGGATCACAACCTCAATATAGAAAAACATATCTTTTTAGGGCTTTTCATTAGGGTGTACGAGGAAGCACCGTACGGACGTCCGTTGAGCCACATTTTGCCCTTGTCTTCGTGAAACTTGTTTCTAATATCAACTTTCTTTGCATGCAGCACCGGCTTGCACCCAACGAGTTCCTAGTCATGCTTCCTGAGACTTTGCAAGTAGTTTTAGCTAAATTTCTCCAATCGTTTTCCTAGGACGTTCCGTGCTTGGATTAAGATCTTTGCTTTTTATAAACTAAAAGGTTGTCAGGAAAAAGGTGTTACAATCTCAATACCTGTTCGTGCGAAAAGCCGGCTGTTCTTGGCCTCCACACTTTCCACAGCCGATCGTGGCTGGCAGTGACGAGAAAATCCGCCGTGGGAGACCAAGCAACGTCGAAAACATGATCGCTATGAGCGCTGGAATCACTCGGTTAGTTCAAAAGCTCAAAGCTCGGACTCCTTACCTCAAGATGTGAAGACACTCGAAAGTGGCGGTGTCATACAGCCGGACTGTCGTATCACCGGAGGTGGTCGCGAGCAATCTGCCGTATGGAGAGAACGCGACGCGCTTCACCTCCCCGGAATGCTCTTGCAACACCGCTAGCGGAGAACACATTCTCAAGTCCCATATCCTGCACGACTTGTCATCACTTCCAGTGGCTAGCAGCCATCCCGAGTCGTCGATATCTACACCAATGACGTCCTCAACATGGCCACGAATTGTCTGCACGTCTTTGCTGCACCTGGCATCCCAGAGCTTGGCTGTGTAATCGAAGGAAGAGGTTGCAATCAAATGGCCGCATGGCTGGAAGCAAACTCCATAGACCGTGTTGCGATGACCCTGTGAGCAAGAGAAGGACGAAGAATGAACAAAATTCGACGAGCTTTGTGTGGAAATTTACCTTCAAGGTGGTCACCGCAACTCCTCTTTCGGCATCCCATATGATACAAGTGGTATCGTCAGAAGCTGTAGCTAGTAAGTTAGTTCCTCGCTTGAATGACAATCCATTCACCTGCGAGTGCGAGCATGAGCAAATACAAAGGGAAAGATAGAAGAGAGAGAAAAGACTGACCTCGTCTTTGTGACCTTCGAGAACGCTAATGCATTCTCCACTGTCTAAGCTCCAAAGCCGGCATGTCTGATCCGAGCTCACCGTTGCTACGAGATCTCTTCTCACGGGAGAAAACTTCACGGCATACAGGCCCAGCATATGTCCAGAAAGCACACCGACCTCCTTCTCCAAGTCCGTATCAAAGATCCGGCAAAAGTGATCCCAAGAGGCCGTCGCTACTAAATTCCCCGAGGGATTCACGGCAATCCCATGCACCGGAGCCGAGTGCACGAGAAACTTTCGAGCAACGTCCCAGCTCGTCGCGGTTAGATTCTCTTCGACTTTTCGTGGAGGCCGTGCTGCTCCAAACCCAGTCTCCACGACACCAACTTCGCTCTCGAATCCCCACGATGGTGCCCGAGACAACCTTAGCCTCATCCCAAGGGCGTGCTTCAAAACTTTGTTCTCGTCATGCAAGCTATGGACTTGCCCCTGGAGTTTTTGGTTCACCCTCTCGAGCTCCGCTACCTGGACTTTGAGCTTAGCACGCTCCACCATCACTTGCTGCCATCGCTCGGCCACCTTGCCCAGCACGAATTTCACCAAAACATCGTCTTCCTCGCCTACATTCTTCTCACCACCGTGATTTTCCTTGTTCCTGTCACTGCCCCTTTGCCTGCTGCTACTGCCACCGCTGCTACTACTACACTCCTCGCTCTTCTCCAAGCTAGTCTCCAGCGACGATACCTGGACGCCGGCGTCTTGATCGTAGAGTGAGATCAGGGCCGAGATTTCTCCGACGAAAGCCCGGCACACCGGGCACGCCGCCTCGTTCCGGAACCAGATCGTGGCGCAGGGCTGGCAGAAGACATGGCCGCATTGCGTGATCTGAGCTCGCTGCACGGCTGAGAAGGCGCTCTCGAAGCAAATCTTGCAGGTGAGCCCCATGATCGATCGCGAGGCCTACATTGGATCCCACCTACCGATCGATCGATCGATCAATCGCTCCCGCTTTGGCCCTAAGACATGCGAGGGAGCTATAAGAGAGAGGATTCACGCGCTAATACTAGCGCCCTCCCCCGACGCAAGGGCGAAGAACCCTAGAGACAGGTGGCCTACTAGCTCAGTAGGTTAGAGCGTGGTGTTGATAACGCCAAGGTCGCAAGTTCGAGACTTGCGTGGGCCACACAACACTCCTTTTCATCCATTTTCTTCCTCCTCCGCCGCCAAGATCTTTGCTCATACTCTCAAAAAATCGTTTTTTGGCAAGGATTGGGGCAAATGTGGCAGATCTAGATCTCCAGAAACGTTTTTAGGCAAGGAATGTGGCCGATCTAGAGCTTGGGCAGACGCAATTCATGAGAGAATATGGCTGATCGGCCCCAATTTCATGGATTCTGGCTAGAATTTCCTCGGCAATGGCCGCGTCTTGACGACTACATCAATGGCGAGGCATCTGGAGAAGGCTGTGATCGAGCAGGACGTCCCTCACCTCGCGGAGCTCATCAATTCGTGCGCCAAGCTCAAAGATCTGTCGCGCGGCAAGCTCCTCCACGATCAAATCGATCGCTCGCCGCTGGGAAGATCGACCTATCTCCGGAATCTCCTCATCGACATGTACGGCAAATGCGGCCGCGTGGATGACGCACGGAACGTCTTTGACGCCACCCAAGACCCTAACCATTTCTCGTGGAATATCCAGATCGCAGCATATGCCCAGAATGGGCATACGCAAGAGGCAAGGAACGGCCTCGATTTAATGCCGCAATGGACGTTAGTCGCCTGGAACTCGTTGATCACGGCATATGCCCAGAACAAACTCCTCTACGAGGCCAAGCATCTCTTCGCGAATATGCCCGACACGGACGTTATCTCGTGGACGGCTATGATCACAGCATATGCCCGGAATGGGCATCCACACGAGGCAAAGGCCACTTTCGATCGATCGCCGGTTCGAAACGTTCTAACGTGGAACGCAATGATCGCGAGCTACGCGGAGGGCCACTGTTTGGCGGAATCTAAAATGATGTTCGATAAGATGCCTCATTGGCATGTGGTATCTTGGACTGGGATGCTCTCGGCATATGCCTCGAATAGGCAAAAGTCTCAAGCGATTGACCTCTTTAACTCGATGCCGCGGCGAGAGGTCGTGTCGTGGAACGCTATGATCCAGGCATACGTTGACTCATCGGAGCTTGACTCTGCGCGACTAACTCTAAATAAAATGCCCTACTGGGATGTGGTATCGTGCACGGCTATGATCGCCGCATATGCCCAGAACAGGGATTTTGATGAGGCTAAGAGATTATTTGCGATCATTCCACAAAAGGACCAAGTTTGCTGGAACACGATGATCACTGCCCACATTAGCAGCGGTGACCTAATCGCCGCGGAGAGGGCGCTGGAATCTATGCCCACGCCCAACGCCGTGTCGTGGAATATCCTTCTCTCGGCCTACGCGGAGAAGGGCGAGCTGGCGAAGGCGAGGCGCCTGTTTGACAGCCTCTCCAAGAAGAACCTGGTGACGTGGAACGCCATGGTCCAGGCGTATTGCCAGGCGGGTAATATCTGTGAGGCAAAGGCGCTGTTTGATCAAATGAAACAACGAGATTCCGTGACGTGGTCGTCCATGATCCAAGCGTATGCCCAAAATGGCCACTACCGCTTGGCATTCGAGCTCTTTGGGACGCTCAATCTCGAGGGATTGAAGCCCAGCGAGATCACATTCGTGGAGATCCTCAGCGGGTGCTGCCAATCGGGGAAGATTGGCGACGCAGCATCGTTCTTCCGGTCGATGATCGAGGATTTTGAGCTGGTGCCGCTGGTGGAGCACTACCGCTGCGTGGTGGATCTTCTAGGGCGATTGAAGCGCTTCGAGGAGGCTGAGGAGCTGATAGAGAGCATGCCCTTCCCGGCCGATTCGATCGCGTGGATGGCGCTGCTAGCGTCGTGTAGGGTTCACGGTGATGTGGAGCGCGCCAAGATCGTCGCCAAGAAGATCGGCGATCTAAACCCCGAGAGGGCCGCTACGTATGTGATGCTCGCGAATATCTACAAGAAACCCGAGTCCTAGGGCTAAATAGCGCGCCAAATGCAAATTTTGCTTTCTGGAATGGATTGGATTTGTGCTCTATTTGCCACGTTGTCGAGCAAAATCTAGGGCTGACGGACACGCGGCATATTCGGCTCTGTTTTTAGGCCGTCTTGCCCTAGAAGAATATTCTAGAAGGCTCTTTCTGGAACTTTCCATACGCCACACGGCATACTCATTGGTGGCCGTCGGATGCCGGCATCCGACGGCTGGAGAGCTTAAACCGGTCTCTTTTTGGCGAGGAGGTGAAGCGCGATTAGGGATTTTTCCATCCAGCTCCGGCCGCGAGGCGCAGCGTCCAGATCTAGAGCTCCTCTCTCGGATTGCGAGGTAAAACTCCGCGAGGATGAGCGTAGTAGGGCTAGATGTCGGCAACGAGAACTGCATCGTGGGAGTGGCCCGGCAGCGCGGGATTGATGTGGTGCTCAACGATGAATCCAAGCGCGAGACGCCGGGGATGGTGTCCTTCAGTGAGAAGCAGCGGTTTCTTGGCACGGCGGCCGCGGCATCAGCTACAATGAACCCTAGGAACACAGTGTCGCAGATCAAGAGGCTGATTGGGAGGAGATTTGCCGACCCCGAGGTCCAGAAGGATTTGCAGCTCCTGCCCTTTAATGTGACCGAGGCCGCCGATGGGACCTGCCTGATCCATGTCCGCTACCTCGGAGAGGTGAAAGCCTTCACGCCGACACAGATTCTCGGCATGGTTCTCTCCAATCTCAAGACCATCGCCGAGACGAATCTGGGGACCCATGTCGTCGACTGTGTCATTGGGATCCCGGTCTACTTTTCGGATTTGCAACGACGGGCTTACCTCGATGCGGCATCCATCGCTGGGCTTCATCCTTTGCGACTCATGCACGAGACCACCGCGACAGCGCTGGCTTATGGGATTTACAAGACCGATCTGCCAGAGGGCGATCCAGTTCACGTAGCCTTCGTCGACGTTGGCCATGCTAGCACCCAGGTCTGCATCGTGGCTTTCAAAAAGGGTCAGCTCAAAATTCTTGGGACTGGCTTCGATGCCTCCCTCGGAGGCCGAGACTTCGACGAGCTTCTCTACATTCACTTTGCGTCGACTTTCAAGGAGGAGTATAAGATCGACGTGAGATCCAACCCGAAAGCTAGCCTCAGACTCAGGGGTGCGTGTGAGAAGGTGAAGAAGATTCTCAGTGCCAATGCGGTTGCTCCCATCAGCATCGAGTGCCTCATGGACGAGAAGGACGTCAAGGGGATGATCAAGCGGGAGGACTTTGAGCAGCTGGCGGCGCCATTGCTGAACAGATTCAAGTCGCCGCTGGAGAAGGCGCTAGTGGAGTCGAAGATACCGCTGGAAAAGATCAACTCGGTGGAAGTTGTGGGGTCTGGTTCCAGGATCCCGGCTATTCTACGCATCCTGGCTTCGTTTTTTAATAAGGAGCCCGGTCGGACACTCAACGCCAGCGAGTGTATAGCCAGGGGATGCGCTCTGCAATGCGCGATGCTCAGTCCAACATTCAAAGTCCGAGATTTTGAGGTCTGCTTTTCTTTGGCTGCTTTTGAGTATGTTTTTCTAATACGTTGACGTCTATACAGGTGCAAGACTCGTTCCCTTTTCCAATAGCGCTCTCTTGGAAGGGCCCTGCACCGGAGTCTGAAGATGACAATCCCAACAGCATTGTCTTTGTGAAGGGAAATCTCATCCCAAGCACCAAGATGCTGACTTTTTTCCGATCTGGGACATTTGCTATTGACGTCATGTATGCGGATATGAGCGAGCTGCCGGCTGGTGTTGGTCCTAAAATCAGTACATTCACGGTAAGCTTCTCGGCTCTTATCTTGTTTAGAGACTGAATGTTTTTCTGTAGATTGGGCCATTCACACCTACTAGGTCCGAGAAAGCGAAAATCAAGGTTAAGATCCGCCTAAATCTTCATGGCATAGTTTCCGTGGAGTCTGCTACAGTAAGTCTTGACATTGTTTGCTGGTCTGGTTTTACCTTTGTGCTTGTTCCAGATGGTCGAGGAAGAGGAGGTCGAAGTTCCGGTTACGAAGGAACCGATTGCGATGGAGACGGATAAAGAGGACGACAAGGGTGATGTTCCTATGGAAGAAGGCGATGCTAAAGTGGAAAGTGCGGAGGGTACTGACAATGGAGCACCTCCAATGGAGGAACCAGTTGAAACTCAGAAGGTATGTGTGGTGTCCTTTCGCATGTTGTTTACGTACTATGGTGGCACATCTTACAGGCCGAGCCTGTTAAGAAGAAGAAGACGAAACGGACGGATGTCCCGGTTACGGAGACGGTTCCCTGTGGATTGCCTCCAGCGGAGCTCCAGAAAGCCGTGGAGAAGGAGTACGAGTATGCCCTTCAGGATAGAGTTATGGAAGAAACCAAAGACAGAAAGAATGCAGTGGAAGCCTACGTCTATGACATGCGGAACAAGGTTTGTCATCTCGTATGTGATTTGTAATTTTAATGGCTGCTGCTTCTTTTCAGCTCTACGAGAAGCTGCATGACTATGTCACGGATTTTGAGAAGGAGGAGCTAACAGCAAAGCTCCAGCAAACAGAGGACTGGCTGTACGAGGAAGGCGAGGACGAAATCAAGAGCGTCTACGTTGCAAAGCTCGCTGAGCTGAAAAAGGTAATACCCAGCTGCTAGCTTTAAAACACCTTCCAACTTTTTTCTATTGCAGCTCGGGGATCCCATAGAAGAACGGCAGAGAGAAGAGGAGACCCGCGCTCCATCCGTCAACACGTTGCTATACTGCATCAACAGCTTCCGAGAGGCCGCGCTTTCCAAGGACCCCAAGTTTGATCACATCGACCCGGCGGAGAAAGAAAAGGTAAGAAGATTTAGACATCCGAGTAGCTGGCGGTCGCGGTGATTATTAACTCGTGCTTTCCAATGCAGGTGGTTGTGGAGTGTAACAAGGCGGAGGAATGGTTGCGAGACAAGAAGCATCAGCAAGACGGTCTCGCTCGGTCTGTGAACCCGGTATTGTTATCGGCGGACATCAAAAAGAAGGCCGAAGTTTTGGACCGGTATGGTGGTCTCGTTCTTGTTTTCCACTTGCAAGTGGAGTGACTTGACTTGTTTTGGATGTTTTTACAGGTTTTGCAAGCCGATAATGACGAAACCAAAGCCGGCGCCTCCAAAGGCGGCGGCGCCAGCGGCGGAAGCCAAGTCCGCGGCGGAGAACAAGGAGAGCAAGGCGGAGCAAGCAGCCGGCGGTGCTCCACAAGCCGAGGACGCGGGCGGCGCCGTTGATCCCATGGACACTGATCACAACAATCCGGAGCAGGAAGGCAGCCAAAGCGAGTGACTATGACTTCCGTACCACCTTACAGTACGTGATAAGCCAAGAGGGAAGAGCATTAGCTGAGAAAGAAAAAGAAAAAAGAGAATTTACCCCGGGTGTGTGATTATGGGCGAAAGAGAGGCGTCCTTTTTTTTTACGTAAGTAGTTTTGATTCATTTTAAAGTGGGTTTAGCTACAAACTTCCACGTACTATACACCTAGGAAAGATATATTTTTCCATAGGAAATGAGAAAGACAAAGAAGAAAGAGATTTTACTCGGTTACAGGCGAAAGGGAGGCGTCCTTATTTTTAAGGAAGTAGTTTTGATTCATTTTAAGCTACGAAAAGTGGAAACTTCCACGTACTAAACACTTAGGAAAAATATCAAGTCAAAACCAGCAGTCATAGAAGAATAGGAGAACATCACTATAGGAATTCAACCAAAACATCACGACTTCCACGAACTAAACGATCAGAAATTTTCTTGGTCCAAATGCCAGATTTTGAGTCAAAGCGGGCGTTTTGCATTTTCTCCATCCTCGAGGTATATTTCTTGTTCTAGAAGGAACGTGGCGCTTGGATCACACTAGCCACGTCACTCGCCACCTCCGCAACTAAAAATGGAATAAAGCCTGCTAAATTAGGGCGCCTCTGCCAAGCGGCCATCCAACGGCTGCGGCGCGTCCTAGCGTCATCTAACGGGTATCGCGGCGCCACGCGCGTTTTCTACACCATATTAATTGCCCCACGGTTGTTTTGTAAAAGAAAAAAAGTTTGATCGATCGAGTGCGAGGTAGCGAGACGATGGATCCCAGCGAGCAGTCGCAGCTCCAGCGGCGGCATTCCGGCGCTAATGCAGGTCGGAATCTCTTGGGCGATGAGGATTTGTGCTCGTCGTGCGAATCGTCGAGCGAATCGTCGGGCGCGGCCAAGATCTTCCCTCCGCCGCTCACGATCCTGGCCGGGGACTGCTGCTACTCGCGATTCCCGTATTGCATGCCGCGCTGGGGGCTCCGCCCCATCCGGAGGAAGGGCCGGTTTCTTCTCCAGGAGGTGAGGGTGCCGCGGCAGCTCATGTTCCACTCGGTGAGGAAGAATGGGCGATTGGTGCTGATGCTGCTGCTCCACCGCGACCGGATCGAAGATGAATTGCCGCGCGATCACCCAATTGCGGCTGCCACAGCCGGTGATCAAGAAGAAGAAGAAGAAGAATCCGATAGCTCCTTGATCTCAGGATCCTTGAGCGCGAGCTCTTCCAATTCTTCTTCTTCCAGCTGGAATCTCAAAGATCTCGGCGAGCTGAGTCTCAAGGATCTCAGAGAGGAGGAGGAAGCCCGGGCTCGGACCGATTCAAATCTCAAGAGTGTGGTTGTGATCAAAGATGGCGTTGTCAAGTTCCCGTACGGAAATCCTCTCAAGAACACCAACGTTCCAAAGACTTCCACTTTCCCAGAGAAGAGTTCCTCCACTCTAGCCAAGAGATCGAGCATGGACGATTTGCTGGTGGCGAATCTTTGCGGCAAAGCCAGTGGCAGCGCGTGGAAGGGTAGCGACCTCGGCAGCTTCCAAAGCATCTCGCATTGGACACATTGATGGAAAAGATTGGGCAACCTCTCAAATATCTTCTCTTTGCTATATTAAAGAGTTGTAAAGTTACAGATCATGATCGATCATCCAAAACCACAGAAAAAAAGGAGTAAAGTAACGGATCAATCGAACAACAATCAAAACCACAAAGTCAATAAGATGGTCAAAACACAGAAAAAAAAAACTGCCTGTGGGGTTGGCTGGATCAAGCTGGCCGCCTATTTGAGAAAACGTGTTCTTATCTTACAGGGGGTGAAAAAGAGTCGGGTGGGTCGCATTTCAGACCATGCACGTGAATTTCCTGGAACAGAGCACGTCAACCCACGTCAAAACCCAAAAACCCTAAAAACGATACCTCTGGATATGCTCTCACGTTTGAATCTTTCACCTCTACTGGTGGTGAAAGTGGCAGAGGAGCTTGGAGCTCCTTGGCTCGCCCCGCTTGGAGTGGAGTGGCACAACGCGAATTCCTTGCTCCAGCTCCGGGACGGGGATGCAAGCTTGCCCCACGAAATCGTCTCTCCGCATTCGATCGTGCTCCCACACCTCGAATCGCAGCACGGCGATCTCCGGGACTGGAAGAAACGAAACCAAACGATTCTAGGGAATGACACCATCGCTCCAGAGCTTTACTTACCTGTTAGCGGGAACTCGAACACCTCGGTTTCCCAGTTTGGATGATGCGTCTTGTGCGCGACTTTGGTCCTCTTTTTCAGCTTGTCGGCCGCAACTCCATGCACCGCAACCTACACCCATGTTGAAAAAGAGTTTCCAGTACTGGAAAGAGAGAGAAAGAAAAACTGCTCACCTTTACGTAGAAATCTGGTTTGGAGAAGAGATCGAATCGCTTGTGCCAGTCGGTGCCTGTCAAGACTCTCACCTGCATGTACAGCGACATGAAATCGGAGCTACTGGCCGGTTTTGCGAACCTTGAGTGTAGATTTGACGTTGCTGTCGTGTGGGACGTCGCTGAGAAAGCAGTCGGGCTTTTTTATGTAGCCGCAGCCTCCGTTTCCAAGGAAGAAACCTCGAGCAACCCAGCACGGACGGTCTTTTCCTTGCAAGTTTAACGCGGCCAGCTGAAATCCATGACTCCAAGCAAGCATTGGATCCGCATTCGAGGAATCAAAGCGGAGGCCGAACGGGTACATTCGGCCCAAGTTGTTCTTTGTGTACCTGAAAGTATGGAGTTAGAAAACTTGCAAAACAATATAAGAACACCAAACTGGATGAGAGAAAATGGATTCGACAGCACTGATTTCTTTAGCTGGGGCTCGCTCATGTTGGCCATGATTGCAGTGCTGGTGGAGACAAGTTCGCCATTGACAGGAGCTTCCTTCATCTCCGACGGTTTGGCGCAGTAGATGTACAGCAAGTGCTGTAGCTCCGGGATTTTGGGAACTTCAGGATGTTCCTCGTGCAAACTGGCGGCAGCCATTGCTTCCGCAGCTTTCGTAACATTACGCTTGCCGCGATGTTTTCTATCTTCTTCTTCATCCGATGAACTGCTTGAGAAGCTGCTCTCTGAGCCGCTGTGTCGATGATTTGGAGTAATAGCTTCTACAGCGCCCTCTGGATCCCGGGCAACCTATTCCAAGGTAGGCGATATAAGATGCATTTGAAAAAATGCGAACTAAAGTTACCTGCTTGGCTAAATGCTCCGTTGGAGGTTTGTCCGAGATGATTATCTTTCTCCTGAGTTCCCAGGGTGACAGAAACTCTGTCGGGGGCGTCTCAGAAGCCGGTATATACAATGCATCGCCAACGAGCTCTCGAAGTATCTGCATTTATCCTATTCATTAGAATAATCACAGTGCAGAGCCAGAAAAGAAGAAGCAAAAGGAAATACTTGAGAGAAAAACAAAACACAAAATATAAGCATTGAAGAAGCAGAAGAAAAAAAAAGTGGCTTGTCAGAGAAACCTTGGCCGCTTCCTGTTGTAAAGCCGGTGGCAAATGATTTTCAATAGTGACAATCACTGGGTATTCCGACGCTACAAAAGCGTGCTCCTTTATAGCCGCTACGCAGACATCGAATGGAACAGCCCTCGTCAACGTGCTGCAACACGGCATTCAGATTTGCCTCGAGCAATCAATCAAAGGCATACCAAACTCATACCAAAAGCACAAAGCAAATCACACTTCCAGGAAAGAAAGAACGAAAGAAAAGAGCTCACCCGCCATGGAAGACCATAACCTTGCCTTTGTGCTCCCAGCAGTCCAACTCGATGACACGGCAGCCATTTCGTAGCGCCAAGACAATGGGCGACGAGCACGATTTGGAGGTGAGCTGGTTCCCTTTGAGGTACGAGTTGTGGCTTGTATGGATGTAATAATGTGAGAGTGGAGCAGTCATGTCGTGGCTTGGCTGCGAATCAATCACCTTGACTTTAGCATATACTGATAGAACGCAGGAAAAAAAAGGAAGCTATGCTATGTATGACGAAGTCTTTCTTACCTTCTTCGTGCCAAGCATTGCAGCATTGAGTGCTGGATCGAGGAGAAATTTGTGGATGAAGCTCGTGAGATCCAGGCCCTGCGGCGCCAGCCTAGACATAATCTCGGACGCTGTGCTCTGGCTCAAGCTCGGGTCACAGCCTTGAAATCTCTCCAAGAAACGCGCCATTCCAGCGGCATTTATGACCGTGCCCCCGCCGGCAGCCTCATCAAACATCTCCCTCACGAGCTCTGGCGGCTGGAGATTTCCCTTCATTGTCCCTGCCGCTGGGTTTCTCTCGTAATATCGCTCGACTGACTGCCGCGACGCGAATCACATTCGCTTTACCTGGAGGGAATCGCGACGCGCTCGCCGGCGCCGGCTAGGGCAACGCAGCCTCCGATCACTGTGAAACACGAGGACGTTGATCGATCGCGAGCTAGAAGAGGAAGAAAGAGGGATTAATCTATCCCGAGGAAGTAAAAGGACAAAACCCTGGTGGTATATTCTACGAATATTACATGGACAGGGATATGCTATTTCGATGCCAGGAATATAAGATTACACACGTTCCAGTCTCTCCCTTTCACACTAATGGCGTTAGTGGCACCACAGTACAAGGCTGTCCTTACAAGCGCTGGAGCAAACAAGGCCTTCTCCTTCTAGGGCTCCTCTCTTCCACTCCAGCGTTTAGGGCTCGCAGATCCCAGCTCCTGGCGATGGCGACGCAATGCCGCGGCGATCAATGCGGCAGGCGCTGGAGCGCGCGCCTCTCTCCGGCAGTGTGCTCCAGCAGCAGGGGTGTGAGATCACGATGATCGGCAGCACAGTGGAAAAGAACAAGCGGCCAGCGGAGGAATCACAGGGGGCGGGGTGCCACGCATTGATTTCCAGCGGTGCGCGGTACTAGTAGGTCCTGCATTGATGCGCGGCTCGCTTCTTTCGTCCCATTCATGAGATAGCGGTGCGGGGGAGTGACAAAAGCTCTCTCGAGGTGAGATCCATATCCTGGTTTCTACGGGTTCTCTTTTCTTTTGCTTTGATTTTTCAACGTAGCCAGAGAGAATAGGCACTAGTCCAGTGGTGTGATCTTTGTTTCATAGTTCTTTTTTTTTCCAGGCTCGAGTTTTTTGCATACTAGGTACTGGTGGTCCGGATAAAAGTCAAAGGGGACTTTTACGAGCTGGGATCACAAAAGCAGGGAGAAAGAGGACTTGTCCATCCTTTCGAATCGATTCCATGGCTGGATACTTCTTCTACTGCTAAGGTGCTGGTTTTCTTCTTCGATCTATAGGATTTGCTGCTGCTGCTTCTCGCTAGCAATGGGATCCTGCTTGTCCAGCGAGAGAGGAGCGCAGCAGAATGGTGCTGCTAGTAGATCTTCCCGGAAGACCTTGAAGAGGGAAGCAAAAGAAGTTCTTGCTGTAGAGGCCAAGAACGATCAGCAGCTGGCTTGTTTCCCGGGAAGATTGTGTACAAACGGATCAAGTAATTCGTGCTGCCTCTTCTCGCAGCAAGGGAGGAAGGGGGTGAACCAAGATGCCATGATCGCTTGGGAGGTAAGATCGTCTAACTTGTTTTGCTCTGTGATCCTTGAGTGTTCTAAACTTTGAGTGTTTGTTTCCTTGGCAGAGCTTTGCTTCAAGAGAGGACACCGCATTTTGTGGTGTCTTTGACGGGCATGGACCGTATGGGCATCTAGTGGCTCGCAGAGTCCGCGATTCACTTCCACTCAAGCTGGTTCTTAACTGGCAAGAGTCCGAATGTGCGAAGAACGACGAGATCAAGATCCCGTCGAAGAGAAACGACGAAGAAGGTGATGAAGCCGCTGCCGAGTACGATTTGTTCTGCACCTGGAAGGATTTGCACTTGAAGGCATTCAAAGTTATGGACCGTGAGCTTCAAGTTCATCCATCCATCGACTGCTTCTGTAGCGGGACGACAGCTGTGACTGTGCTCAAACAGGTGCGCAATGCCCGTTTTTTAGTGCTCGAACAAGTGAAGAAAACAATGGTTTTAATTTCAGGGCCAGGATCTCTTCATTGGAAATGTTGGAGACTCGCGAGCGATTCTAGGAACTACTGCTGAGGACGGCTCCTTCTCAGCAGTGCCTTTGACAGTGGATCTGAAACCGAATCTTCCCAGTAAGTTGTCTCGATCGATATCACCTTTACTTTTGCCAAGATTCTGCTCAAGCGTCAACTTTGACTTGTTCTATCAGAGGAGGCCGAGAGAATCCGTCAATGCAAAGGTCGAGTTTTTGCTCTCCATGACGAGCCGGAAGTTCATCGGGTGTGGCTGCCGCACGAGAACTCTCCCGGCCTCGCAATGGCCAGAGCGTTTGGAGACTTTTGCTTGAAAGACTTCGGCGTGATCGCTGTTCCAGAGGTATACTACCGCCGACTGAGTGACCGAGACAAATTCGTTGTGCTAGCGACAGACGGGGTAAGCGCAGTGATAGTAGTGATTATTATCACTTACTGTGCTTTCTTTTTCTTCCTTCGCCAACAGGTGTGGGATGTTCTTAGCAACGAGGAAGTCGTCAACATCATATCTTCACACCCGACAAGAAGCACTGCAGCGAGGACTCTTGTAGAGGCGGCCGTCCACGCGTGGATGCTCAAGTATCCAACCTCCAAGATCGACGACTGTGCGGCGGTGTGTCTGTTCTTGGACACCGTCACGGTTTCTCATGCCTCGAATGGAGACAACGAGAACAAGACGATATCAACAGCAAGTCTTAGCTCAGCTCGCAGCTTTGCCGGCATCACAGTGTCAAAAGGCTCCAGTGACGAAGAAGGATCAAAAGAAGCTCCAGCAGCGGCAGTGGCAGCAGTGACAGGAGACGAGAAAGATTCAAGAGACGATGCGACGAGTAAAACCGGCGAGGAAGAGTCGTCCAAGTCGGAGTGGTCGGCTCTCGAAGGCATCACCAGGGTGAACTCGCTGCTAAGTTTGCCGAGGTTTTTGCTGGGGGACAAGAGGCTCGGTGGCTCCAAGAGGAGGCGTTGAAGAAAGTAGCAGGGGATCAAAGAGACCATTCCTATAATCTTGGAGCTTCAATCCAAGCACAGGATTATGCGATATGGTGCTTGGAAATGGGAACAAATTTTAATTAAGGTTATATTATTCTATTAAGCAGTTAAGTTATGCAAGTTCGAATCCTGTTATCCATATCTTTGAAACTTGATTAGATGCTAAGTTAAACTGCTGCTAATGTGGACGTGCCAGAGTGGTTGTCGGGCATGACTAGAAATCATGTGGGCTTGCCCGCGCAGGTTCGAATCCTGCCGTCCACGTTTTCACCCTCGTTTTAGCACTGCTTGAGCGTTTGGACTGGTAGCTCAAAGAAAGTGATAGCTCTTTGATCGATCTTTTCTTTTTGATCCATTTTTGTAGTCCTGAAAAGAACACGCGTTGCGAATGGATCAATCATAGCGTCAATAATCTGCTGTACATTTTCTTTTGATCTTTTCTTTTTTCTCTCTGTCCCATTTATCGCTCTCGTGCCTTCGCTGTGACTAATTGATGTTTTTCCCTGAAGAACACAAAGTTTGGTCATTAAACTTCCAGTGGATCTCCTTTCAACGAACCTTGTGTGTGTGTGTGTGTGTGAGAGAGAGAGAGAGAGAGAGAGAGAGAGGAAACTTTAGTTTAGCTTCAGCTAGCTTCTCAGATCCTTTCTCAGGATTTTTCGTGAAGGTGACTTGGGTATGGAGTCCACGAAGTAAACTTTGTGCATTTTCTTGTAGAAGACAACTGCAGCCGTAAGTTCGCATTTAAAGAGAGAGCTGGCTGAGTGTCATGCTTCATTTAAAGCCGCGATCACTGCTGCGATGGGAATGGAAAAGAAGAGAAGAGATTGGAAACTTGCCTGTTGTGATACGAACAGTTTGAGCTCCTCTTCCGATACTTCAAAGCCATTTGCAATCAACCTACAATGTACAAGCTTGTAAGAAAAAGAATAGAAAAAACTTGCAAGTCCGTGGATTCAAAGAACAAACCAACAGAGACAAAGAACCAACTTTGAATTTTATTTGATGATCTCCTTGACACGATCCACCAGGAAAACCTCATTGATGTATCCAACATCTCCGGTGTGAAGCCAGCCCTCCTTGTCGATCGTAAGTGCAGTTGCCTCTGGATCGTTCAGATACCCTGCCTGTGAATCAAGTGAGGCCTAGAACACAAAAAAAAAAACCAAAGAAGAAAAACACGAGGAAGAAGTTTTTCCACCTTTCATGATCTAGGCTCCATCTTGGTTGTGTGGAAGTGACACTCCACCTCGGCACTGGCGTTTCACGAGCAAGATCCAGGCTTGACTGGAAAAACTTCTTTCGCGAATGCCAGATTCATGGCGATCACAGGCCCAGCTTCAATCATCCCATGCCACGATCGGGTTCGGCACGAGGCGCGCGGTAGCTCTGGATGAGCTCCAGCGAACTTGGGCATGATGAGAATGGCGCAGCGAGCACAGGAACACCAAATTCATGGAGTAGATGTGCAGCACGCACAGCACGACGTCGTCGTAGATCCACCTGCTGGGCGATGCTCTTTGGGCAATCGGGTGGTACCGCTCGAGTAGGGGAGTGCCGCCACGTCGTCCGGCTGTACCACCTCGGAGTCCACCTCTGAGCAGCGTGGAGAATGGAAGATGGCCTTGGCGAGTTCAGCGAGAGTTTTACTCCATCTTGGGGCGGTGGATCATCGACGTCCGGATCGAGCTCCGAAGCTCACGAAATTTAAGTAAGGTTATTATATTGCACTTAAACCGAGTCTAGGGTTCTCACTCTGCTCACAAATTCCAAGTCTTTGACCTTAGGTTCTTCAATCCACGGACTAAGTGAGAAACCAAATCCAAGTCTTTTTCACAGACAATGGAGGAGGAGGAGGAGGTGGTAGGGGCCAAGACAGGACTGGATGCAGAGCAGACTGTGGAGAGTCGTCAAAAGGAAAAGTTTGCAGACGTTGGAGCACTGAAGACAAAACCAAAGACGAAGAGGAGCTCCTCGGGGGCCAAGGCAGGACAGGATTCGGCGGAAGCAGAGCCGACTGTGGTCGACGAGGACCGTCAAAAGGACAAGTCTGCAGTCGTTGAAGATGAGGGAGGAGCACCGACAGCAAAGAAGAAGAGGCGCAGGACATCCTCGGGTGCCAAGGCAGGGGAGGCAGAGCCGATTGTGCTCGAGGAGCACTATCAAAAGGACAAGTCTGCAGTGGTGCCGTATGGAGGATCACCCAAGAGGACAGATAAAAAGAAGAAGCGTAAGAAATCTCAGGAGCCTGAATCGTCGGGAAGGGAGATAGGTGCTATTATTGCGGAGGAGGAGCAGGAACCAGAAATTTTATCCTGGCTTTACGAGAAAATAGAGGATCCGAATCAGTTCTTCCACAAGTTATTGCCACCATCAAGTGCACAGCAAGTTGTGCGGGCACTTGAAGATGTGTCACCTTCTTATTATCTCCAGTGCCTGGAAGATTTTCAATCCCTCTCGCCGGACATGCTTCCAATCCTCCAAACAGGTACGAAACTGTGTATACAAATCTTTGGCCATGAAACAATTTGTTCGTTTGTTTCTTCAGTTCGTCACATCGGTGAACATGTTCGCCTTATCTCGATGGCATTGCAGCGGCACAAGAAAATCGTGCAGCGATTCAGCAACTTCAACAAGGAGGATGCTCTGATCCATCTCTGCGATCCATCGCGCTCGACTAAGCTAGAGCTTCCGAGCTTCTCAGCCACCAAGTTCTCTCCACCACTGTCCTTCGATTTCGTTGGCCGTTCAAAGCTCCGCTCACTACTCCAACGAATCAAAGTTAAAAGTGATATCCACTTCCGAGGCCATCCGGGTAGAGGCAAGTCGTATGTTTTGGCAGCCCTGGCGAGCTATCTTCACACTTACAAGCAAGAATGCGGGGTGGTCGTTTATATCCTTTTGTCACGGCTGGTTCAGACGGAGCAGAAGCTTACGTATGTTTTGCAAGCATTGCTTCTGGGCTTTGCTCGACACGGGGAAAAACAACTGGAGATTCTGGCCTGCGACAGCATGGAAAAGCTCGAAGAGTTCTGCGAGAAGGAAAGGCCTTTGTTTCTAATTGACGAGGGAAATGCTCTGGACGTGGACAAGAAAAGGACCTTGTCGAGTGAAGAGGATCGTCGCGTTACGAAAAAATATTTAAGCTGGATTGTCAACAGAGCGGTCTGGTGCACAACGTTCAAGTCTGAGTTCATGCCAACGAATATTGGGTTTTTTCCTCCATTCAATCAGCCATTCGATGACAAAGAGTTCGCTTCCTGGCTATCCGGCTATAACTTCAAAGAACTGGACATCAACGATCTCCTATTCTACACTGGTCTCATACCACGACTCCTGGCCGAGTTTGTTGGCAAAGGTGATGCACCTGAGGAAGTGCTTTACAGAAGGGACTTGTATATTGCAGGCATGAGTCGGGTGTTCCAGTATTTTGTCGAGCGTATGACTATGGAAGAGGCCGACGCTGTTGAGAAAGTTTTGGACCTGAGTTTGGAGGAGATTGGAAGTCTAGAGCTCCCTCCTGATATCTTCTTCGAGCGGACCTTTGGCAGCAAGACAGTCGTCTCAGTCCTTCCTTTTCTGGAGAATCGCCTACGGATCTTGATGGCCGAAAAGCGGAGGCAAGCGGGCCGTGAGAAAGACATACAGGAGTTCGAGGTGCAATTGTTGAGGAGCAGGAGACTTATGGAGATGGATTCGGATCGTCAGCCGAACTCGTCCCTCAACGCTTGGCTGGCGGAAGGCCTTGTTCGAGAGTACATTCGTCTGAAAAAGAAGTTCCTGACCTGGAAATTTGATACTTTCGAAGTTTACGAGGAAGGCTTGGAAGGGATAGCACTGGAGCAGGTGTCGATTGACCGTCTGAGAAAGGGAGTGTGCTTCGTCACTGCAAGTAGTTTTGACATCGTGATCGCCATTATGGCCGCTGACGAGAAATCCCTGGACATCCACCCCGTGCAGATAAGCGTTTCAAGCTGGAATATGAAGAAAGTCATGGATTCGTACAACTTGTGGAGCGGGGAGACTATGAAGGAATGGTCCCATCCATCCTGTACCACAAGGAGTCTAGACTTTACATATGTTCTCACCAACACTGAAGGAGCCAACTTGGATAAGGTAAATCTCATTCTCTTGTGTGAACTATTGATGGAATTTGGTGTTGTGGGAGATGAATAGGTGACGTTGAAGACATTTGGAGACGTTGGCAAGTGTTTAGCCTTCATCGACAAACTAGTTATTCCCCAGTGGAAGCCTTGTTAGTGTCTTTAGTGTGTGGTTTTTTTGTGTGCGAGTCTGGAAGAATTTTTATTGCAATGAACACTTGGACCGACCCATGGCTTTACATTTCGTTTTCCTCATTTTTCAGACGTTCCTAAGGAATGTTGGTTTGATTTCAAACCAATGTTGGTATGGCAACTTAATTTAAAATAGAGCAAAAGGGTATAAAGTGAAAGAGTAGGCTTAGAGCAGGGTGTTGAGATTGACTTGGCAGTTCAGCTTTCCTCTTCAAGCAAACCTTAACTTGTATTGTTGAATAGGACATAATGTTTATGAACTTGCATTCTCCTTTTTTATGTGGTCAAGCAAGCTTTCAAGTATGCATAAGAGATTTGTTAAATTCCTCAATCTAAAGCTATAGAGAATAGTAGTTTGACAAAAAATTGTGCAAACTTGTAAAATATATGAAAGAAAGATATATGTGTGTTTAAATTTTTGTAACACATATATGTAACTCACAAAATAACATTTTAAACATAGTTATTTTTTTACATATAAGCATGCATTGGTACTCATCATGTATGCATGATAAAGTTTAACATAATGCTATATATATGATTTTTTGCATTGTAAATTTCAAGTTCAATGTCAATTTTTTTAACACATTAATAAGACTTAAACTTTGGGTTGTAAATATAATATTTTTTAGTGCATGAGTTGAATTTTAAGTATTTTTGAATGTTATAGGTTGAGTTTGTCTTTATATACTTAGGGCACTTTCTTTAGTGAGCGTAATGGAAAATACTTTACAAGTGAGTGGTTTTAAAATAAATAAATTATTAAATAAGTGAGTGTTAAATTGAGAGAAAGTTGCAAAATGAGGGATCTTGTAAATAAATCATTACAATGCCAAAAGCTTATACATGTGATTAGGATTATAAGAAATTGATTAAGTTAATATCTTAATGTAGATACAAAAAGATTCATTTACTAAAAAAAACCATTACGCTTGATACCTTAAATATATAAAAAAAAATTTTACTTTTCACATACCATAAAAAATAAAAGGGACTTCTAAAATATTGAAACACCTTACTTATATTAGAGTGTGTTGTGATTTAAATATGCATTATATCAGTTATAGTTGCATGAAATGAGAAAAGAAAAACTACAAAAAAAGCCATAACTGTGCAAAATGAAAGGAGAGAGATAATTGCAAATTTGCACTATATGACACAAGAATAAGAAAAAAAACACTCATTAGATTTGTGGTTACCTTTGGAGTCTAATATATCCACATCCTCAACAATAACTTTGATATTTCACTTAATCTCACACTTTTCATTCGGAAAGAATACTTGTAGCCTTTCAACTCATCGGTGCCATTTAAATCTGCTGACACTACCCTAACCCAAAAATGATTTTGTCTAGGATAAGAATCATGGATGAAATTGCATGAAAAAATGTGTTTATTAAGCCTAGATTTATAAAAAAAATAAAAATCATTATTTTTAGCATATTTAAGGAAAATAAAATAATTCATTTCAGCTCTATTTAAAACATTTACTAAAAATGTAAGAAAGTAATGAACACCCTAAAAATAATATTTATTAATTAATAATTTAAAAATAAATTAAATTACCTAAATATTCATGTTTCATCGTGTCTTTTTCTTCTTTATTCAATGAATACTTCAGGTGTTCAGCAAAATATGTGAGATAAGCTAATTAGATTATACCAATTAAAGAAATAAATATATTGTCATGTAAATTATATATCCACCAACTAACATTTAATCATGCATTCAACTTATTACTTTTTTTTTAGCATGGCTTGTAATAAGCTATGTTGATTTCCACTTCGTAGTTTAGAACATCTTTAAGATCCACAAGATTTCTCAACTCTTTCCAAATATTGTCAATTTTCCCTCACATAATTAACACTTTGCATATATACCAAATCATTTTTGTTCTTTGAATAATTGAATATCTACCCTTACCTTGGTTGGTGCCTTGGTTGCTCTATAACTTTGTTAAACCAAACTGAACAATCTACTCTAATGCCTAAAACTATTAAAGTTTTCAAGTTTTTACTTGGATTTTGAGTATATAATTGATTCTTCACTTTTGTAAGTTGATCTTTGGAGAGCTAAGGATTGCCATTGAGCTAACTTACCAGAGTTTCTTTGCAAATTACCTT